CACTGCACTGAGAAGCTAAAGCCACTTCAGCATGAGTTCGATTCCCACCTGCCCTGGAGGTGACCACATGGCGCGGCAGACCTCTCCTGGCCCGCCCGCTGCTCCCCTCAGCGGTGTACTTAGTCAATCTGCCTGTTCTGCTCCCCACTCTGTCTCTGGTGAAGCCAGAACCCCACACGGGGATTACAATTGAGATGGGAAAAAAAAAATGTACTAAATGATGTAAGAATAAACATATTATATTTCAAAAAGTATAAAAATAAAAGTGCTGAGGAATCCTAAAAAAAAAAAAATACCTTTGAGGAAGCACAAGGGAAATTATAGAGATGCAAAACAACTGACTGTTACCTTCGCAAATCTCCGTGACGTTTGAGAAAGCCTGGCAATATCTTCAAGGTCCAGATAAGCTATGATGCGTAGAAGCAAAGTGTCCGAGAGTCGCTCAAGGTAGTCAAATTTCCCTTTGCATAAATTAGAGATATATTCTAGTATTCTTCCACCAAATATTAAGGCAACTTGAACTGTAAATCAAAGAAACCAACAGACAGACATGGTTATCAGGTGCAATAGCCCACGCGCCAGAATCACTGTCGGCGAGACCAGCCTGCCATTTCCCTGCCAGTGACGTCAGGGCGTCAGGATCATCACTGTCAACAAGCTGCCTTTGGGGTCCATGGGAGAGGCACTGTTCCTGGTTGTCTGGAGATCACAACCTTTTTGGGATGCTGACTGTTTAATCCAGTGAGAGAAACCAACCCACCCCCCACCCCTACCCCACCCCCAAGACCTCATCAGCACCAGTTTCCAGTCCCGGCATCTGGTGAACTGGCCCCAGTATCATACTCCTCAGCTTCGCCATCCTCCTGCTTGGGCAAAGATTCTGGACCACGTGAGGACTCTGACCTCGCTGCCTCCCCAGTAACTAGAGCAACATGTCTAGAACGGCACATATTCAGAGCTTAACAGGGGTTAAATCTGGGCGGTCACTTTTATTTTCTTTCTTCTGCTAATCTGTATTTTTGTATCTTTCTATTAAAAAAAAAAAAAAAGAAAGCATATAACCAGTACAATTTCTAGATGCATTGTAATACCGCTTCTCTTGGCTGGTTTTTGTTCTCTGGTACACATTTCTGTACCAAGTTTTCTTCTTTCCTCTTTACTGTCTCTCATCCCTAGCTTTACAGTAATAGAAAAAATAAAGCAAGGCAAAGAGAAAAATAAGTGAGTGTTTCATGAAAACTGTGTTAACTTGTGCCTGATGATTTTCATAGTCTTATCAGCTATTGCCAAATTAGGAAACAGTTTGCGAAGATGGACCACAGGCGTGACCTGTCTAAACATGTTCAATGGAAGGGGAGAAATTGAGTGTCTTTTTTTATCCCAGTCCCCCCATAACTGAGAAATGGCTAGTCGCTGGACGACAGAGTTGGAAGGACACACACTCTGAGTCTTACAGTGGCTAGATCTGGGTGGTGACATATTTTCTCCCTTCTGCTACTCTGTATTTTCTCATCTTTCTATTCACAAAGCATATAGCCAGTGCAATTTCTTTTTAACCCTGGTTAATAACACATCCCCCCTTTTTTTTCAAGATTTATTTACTTATGCATACAGAACTGGGGTCCAGGCCAGAGATGCAGGGGGTGAGAGGATTCACCAGAGACAGAGTGGGGAGCAGAACAGACAGATGTGCTGAAATACACTGCTGAGGGGGGCAGCCGGCAAGACAGGAGAGGTCTGCTGCGCCCGGTGGGTCAGCTCCAGGACAGGGATCGAACTCGCACTGAAGCAGCTGCAGCTTGCTTGCAGGGCTGCACTCTAACCTGCTATGCCACCAGGGAGGACTACACCCTTTATTTCGATGACACCAACTGGCCTTTGCTGCACTGCAAGCCACCAGAGACGGGCTTGAGAGTGTGATGAGAAGAAATACCCCCGTCCGGTCCAGTTGTGAGTGCGTGCTCCGTCATGCAGTTTGCAGAGAGGGGGAGTGCCCTGAGTTTAGAATCGACTTCACTCGTGACGAGGATACAGGTCTGGCTGGTTGGCTCTGCAGGTCCGGAAGCTTGGCTTCCCAGAGGGGCTCACGCCCACGAGCACACAGTGAGGTTGTCTGAGCCCTGAGTTGGGCTGTGCTTTTGTTCCCATTGGGCTCCTTATGCCTTGAGGGCAGCAAAAAAGGAGTCAGCATCCAGGTGCAAGAAGTAGACAGTAGAGACGACTGTGGGCTCCGGAAAATGGGCTCGTGCAAGATTATTTCCCCTGCCAGCAGTGAGCCATCGGCCCAGCTGGCTGCTGGCAGGGCGGTGAGATCCCGCCTCCTTCCCTTCCCTCCAGGATCAGCTAGGACCTTGGTTATATGTTACCTCCTCCTACTTTTTTTCTATTATTAAGGAAAACAACAACAACGAAAAGCAACAACACACTCCCCCGCACAGTCTGGTTGTCACAGAGGCCCGGGCAGGGGCCCACAGAGCGGCCTCTCTCCTACAGCGGTTTTAAACCGATGGACCGCTTGCTTCAGCCTGTGCTTCGGTCTGCTTCACTTTCCAGAGCGGGGATTCGTCCTTCTCCCCCCCGCCACGCCCGCCCTCCACGCACGGAGCCTGCCCCAGATCCGCAGACCTGCAGAGACCGGGCTGGTCAGGGGCAGAAAGGAGCGTCCAGAGCGGTGACCAGCGTGAGAAAGTCAAGTCCCGGCTAAAGGTGGGGGTGGCCTGCATGCAGGACCTAGAGAAAGTGGGTTGTAGACCCTCGGCCGGGGCTGGCCGGGCTTTGGGGAAAGACCAGAACTGTTGTTCCTACAGTACGACGCCCGCCGGCGCGCGCTGACACTGGGGGGGCCCAGGGCCCGGCCACACGGCAGGACGCGGCCCTTGGGGTGCGATCGCCCTTCCGGTGCGTCGCGGCGCCATCAGGGGGCCACAGGCTGGGAACCTTGGGCGGCTCCCGCGCTGCCTCTCCCGCCTGTCTCTGCCCAGGCTCTTGCCGAACAAATTTTAGAACGTTGTCATTTGGCAGATACTGAAAGAAGATACTGAAATGGTGAGCGCGTTTGCTTTACCCCTGAGGTTTTTGTGGATGGGGTGGGGCACTGCTGGTATTTCATTGAGAGATCTAAGCAACTCACCGTAAAATGGCCCAACTTGGAAAGCAACTGGGTGTTAGGCTGGACCCCTCAACCCCTGGTTGGCACTTACAGAGCATCTACAGGCACATTTTCCCCTTAACCGAAATGTGGAAAATACTCCCCCACCCCTAACCCCAGCCCAAGTAGGTAGTTTACTGGTTATTCTACTTTCTTTCTTCTTTTTTTTAAAGATTTATTTATGCATGCATGCAGAACTGGGGTACAGGCCACAGATGCAGGGGTGGTGAGAGGATTCTCCAAAGACAGAGCGGGGAGCAGAACAGGCAGATGGACTGAAACCCACTCCGAGGGGAGCAGCTGGCAGGTCAGCAGGGGTCTGCTGCGCCCTGTGGGTCACTCCCTGGCTAGGGATGGAACTCGTGCTGCAGAGAGCTTCATAGTGCTGTGCTTTAACCTGCTGAGCTACCAGGGAGGGCCTATGCCTACTTTCTTAAGGCAGGAAAATATATATACATATGGCTTCAGATTTTGTAAAAGTCTCAGGGGAAAATAAAAACCCCAAACTCCTAGACAAACGGACAAAGACAGACAGGCAAGTCGCAGAAAGAAGATAATTACACGTGGCAGCTGCTCAGCTCAGGAGTCGTCAGGAAAAGGCTAATTAAACCTGCCACTGTTTTCACCATCTGCCCGGGAAAGATGAAAGAGAATAGCGGTAGCTAAGTTGTGATGGCAAAGGTGTGAGAAAACCGTGTCCTGTTGGGCGGATGAGGAGATACAGCAGTGTGAGGAGGAAGCTGCCATGCAGGCGAGAGGCACTCTGCGTGGCTTGAATTGTTGCCAATATTGTGACATCAAACTATTAACGCAGCCTCATTTTAAGAACCAATGTTGAAATCATGTAAGTTCTTTCAAAAATAGCACAACTCTGAAGATGGAATAAATGTAAAGGTCCGATGAGTCGAAGTCCACCCGTGTGCTACACCAGCGACGCTGGTGACTGATTCACAGAAATGCGTCCTTCGTCAAGGTGACCTTGAAGTATGCAGACCGTACTCCATTTCTATTAAAATGTTGAATGTACATACCTTTGGACTTTCCCTCCCATGTCTAGAGCGTTAGCACCAAAGTGTGCAAAGACAAGCGTGTCCCAGAATGGACCTAAAGGCGCGTGCAAATGTCCAGCGGTTGAGGACTGTGTATTTGGCCAACTCCCACAGCCTTGTATACTACCAGGAAATGCTCCCAGTCTGCCAAGTGCAAACACGAATTAAGGCATCAGATATCCTGTTTTTATAAATAAATATGTACATACAGTCCCAAGCAGAAAGAATGAAATTTTTATAGTAGTTAACTCTGGGGAATGGAGCTTGGAGAAAGAAAGAAGCATGTTTACCTTCTCCACTTTAGAACTGTAATAGCGAGAATTTACTGAGGACTGACCATTTACAGGCTAATTCAAAGCACCTTATTCAATTCATCCTCATAAGAACCGTCTGAAGCAGGTGCCATTATTATTAATTCTTTTTATTTATCTATTTCTTCTTAGTTTTTATTAATTTATATATCTATTTACATTATTGTTCATTTGAAAACAATGTTTACTTCCTCCTCCCCACTGCGCCAGCCCTCGTCACCAGGGTCCTCCACATTCCTCCCTCACTCCTTCCTATAATCAACAGATGGGGGAGCTGAGATCCAGCGAAATTAAAATAGGAAAATCTAACAGGATACGCAGAAGCCTTTGGACATTCCACACTGAGTGAATGTGGTGCCTCAGTGATACTGGGAAGGGAGGCCACCGGGCAGCCCTGAAATTAGCCCCCCTGATCAGTTCCCCCTCCCACCTAACCGCTCCATTCTCCACTGTCCAGGCAGGAGAGGCCAGCAGGGAGACAGGCCTCTGCCAGACTCCCAAGTTCCTGATTTCTTGCATCTGCTTGCAGGATCAGGAACCCCACAGATGCTGAAGACTCTGAGGCCTGCCCCCAGTACTTATCAGGGGGCAGGCATGCTGGCGTTGTGTAAGGAAGCAAGAGACAGGTGCGTGTGTCGCCCTTAAGCCTCCCATCTCTCTGGCCAGGATTTTGCAGATGTCAGCAAGTAACCGGGCTATTAACAGGTAGGGAGGCAAAAAGTTTTGAGACAGTACAGTGGTGCTTAGGAACTTAAGTGGATCCATGGAAAGCTGTTTGGAGGTTTCTCAAACTACTAAAAAGGGAGCCTCCCTATGATCCAGCAATCCCATGCCTAGGTATCTACCCCATGATGCAAAAACATTAACTCAAAAGGACACCTGAACCCCCATGTTTATTGCTGCTTTATTTACAACAGGGAAGATGTGGAGTCAACCCAAATGCTCCAAAATAGATGATTGATCAAGAAGATAGAACATAAATACAGTGGAATATTACTCAGCGATCAAAAAAGATAAACGCATGCCATTCGCAGCAACATGGATGGAGCTGGAAGGGATTGTGCTGAGTGAAATAAGCCAGAAAGAAAAGAAATACCAGATGGTTTCACTTATAGCGGGAGTGTATGGGATCGGGGGCAGGGGGGAAGTAATGTAATAAAGTAAAAGTGAAAATCAATGAATAACTATAAACCAGAGACATTCTACAGGGGTAGAGAGAGGAACAGGATCAAAATTGGATGGGAAGAGGGCACAGGACTCTGTGATGGCACAGGGGGTAAGTGGTGGGGGGAAACCCACGGGAATGACAACCGAGATGGAAAAATGTACAAAATAAGAAAGATGTAAGAAAGAATATTAAGTGGAGCCTCATTTAAAAATGAAATGTGTGGACAGCAGTGTATAACATCTCTGTTCAATTAAATAAGTGCCTGGGTGGGGCTCGGTCCATGAAAACTGGACAGTCCCTCTCCAGCATGGCTCATTCAAAATCAATAGTGAATTTTAGAAATACCTGCTAGAAAGGTCCCCATGAAATAGGATGTGTGTGATATCAGAATATGAAGGCCCTTTATCAATGAACAGCTATTAAAGTGTTCCATTGATGAGAATCCGCTTAGAAGCAGATGCTGAAGTGTCTAGAGCAAAGTGCGATAGCAACTGAAATTGGCTTCAGAACGATGCAGAGGGACCCAAGTGTTCAAGAGGCTCAGTCATGTCTGGGGTCTTCTCAAAGGCCAGTTACTGATGCAGGGCCATTAAAAGCCGTAATGTCTACATTTTTTTTTTAAACGATTATGCATACAGAGCTGGGGTACAGGCCAAGATGCAGAGAAGAGTCACCAGAGTGGGGAGCAGAACAGGCAGATCAACAAAGTACACGGCTGAGGGGTGCAGCGGGCGGTCAGGAGAGGTCTGCTGCACCATGTGCCTCCTGGCCGGGGATTGAACTCGGGCTGAAGTAATTGCTGCTAGCTTCACAGTGTTAAGTTTAACCCGGTGCGCCACCAGGGAGGGCCCTGATATCTGCTTTTTAGGTTCGTAGTTTTCATATTACCAAGGAAATAAGCAACGGGGAAAATGAAGAGTCATTTCTGTTACTAAATCCCACTGTTCCTTGATTAAGACTGCTTCTCAAGCAAATCTTGCTATTAAAAGAAATGCTAGCAATTTAAAATGAATGCCAAAGGGCACAGGTTCAAGAATTTGACGTTTTGATGATGTTTTTCATTAACCTTTTAATGAGTTTTAACTGAAGGGAGCCCGTTTATGGTCAAATATTGTGTGTGTGAGTATGTGTATTTAGATATTTTAAGGTGGCTAATGAAATTTACATGCTAGCTTGGAATCTTAAACACTTTAAGAAGTTCCCCAAAGAAATTTGAGTATATTTTAACTATTTTCTGTGCTATATCTAAGCACATCATTTACATGTTAATATTTCAAGTGGCAGTATGTTGGCCACTTCTCAGACGAAACACATCCCTTCCTAAAGAACTCAGCAGGGAGAAGTCCATCCGCTGTTTCCTTCCTTACCTTGAAGATTTGCGTTCTCCAGGAAATCTTCATGGGTTTCTCTTACTTCTCCAGGTTTTGTTGACCGATACTCACTCCTCAAAGAGATCTTCCACCATCTAAAGGTTACCTGTAGTTGAATTAGAACTGATTTCAGTCCCAGCAGGTACTGTTAGGTCTGGGGTTTGGAGACAATCACAGCATCAGGCCTGGTGTCTCATAGGGGCTTCACTTTTTTTAGAGATTAGGGTCACAGTATCCAAGTGCCGAAAGGAGCCTTAATCTATCAAGTTAGTTGATGTTAAAACTCAACTTTGGAGCACTCAGATCCAAAGGCTGCATTTTGAAGGTCTTGGAGAACAGAGATGTTATAACTTGGGGAGACATCCACTCTCAGGCAGTCCCTAGTATTACAGCGGAAAGAGCATGAATTTTAGCTCAAGATGGCGCTCAGCAATTTAATCTCTGCACTCTCATCTGCCTTTTTGTTTTCTTTGTATTAAATATCATTAAGGTTAATTCAAATGTATCAATTATAGCTCCTTTCTACTGAATGACAATGCCAGATCTAATGCTATCTTCTTTACATCACATAGTCTAGAACTTTTAGGATTCATGAGGGAGTCAAAAATCATTGCGTCCATTTCCCACAACCCAGACAGCGATGAGCAAAACATTTCAAAGAGCCTAAGCGCGAATGTCTTCTTCCCTACAACCACATTGCCAGACGTGAACTTTAAAAAAAATAAGAATTCGGGCCCTCCCTGGTGGCGCAACAGGTTAGGACACAGCACTGCAAGCTCACCGCAGCCGCTTCAGTGCGAGTTCCATC